CGACAGTTCCAGAAGCATGTTGGTTTCCTTCTTCTTCGGCCGGTTTTGCCTCGTTGTCTCAGATGAATGCTGGGCACACTGGGTTCCTGCATTCTAGCACAGTTGAATTTTTGGTTTATCGTTCTGTTCCTGTCAGGCCGAGCATTTTTTTCTTTTTGGTTATTTGCATTTTGATTGTCCTTGTCCCTGTCACTCACTCATAAATGGAGGCGTGTTGCTCCCTCATTGTCACTGTGGAATGATTGAATGTTGAACTTCCAGTTGACCGCTCTGGGATGTTTGTTTTTGGCCGGAAAAGTCGAAGAGACGCCGAAGAAGTGTAAGGATATTGTAATGATTGCGAGAGAGAAATACCCGGAGCTGTACAGCACAAGAAATACAATGGTATATTTTAATAAATTTTTCAATAAAATTGGCTATGTGCTTGTGTTGTTGTAGTTTGCTATCGCCATGTTCGAGGCCCAGGTAGCTTGCTTTTCAAGCAGTTTTTGCGAAACGGTACCATTTCCTAACTTTGCTACTTTGTTAATAACGCGGGCGTACGATTGCTTTTTGCCATAGAACAGAAGTAGTTGTGTTTAAGAGTTTTTAGTGAATTTTTTTTTCCAGTAGCTTTAGAGTATATCGGAACTGATCAGCTATTTATGACATACCGTTTTTCTTTGTTTCAGGAAGAAATTATGGGAATTGAGCGAGTTTTACTGCAAACAATAAAATTCGATCTCCACGTTGATCATCCTTATTCATTCCTCTTGCAGTATCAGAAGGTTTCCATTCGTTTGAATTTTAAGCTTACAGCCAATGGCCTCTCGCTTAGAAACACATGAAACTATCCGTTAACAACTGGCGACATCAGATCTTTGAAATTTAGTTCAGTGACTAGTTAAATGGTAACAAATTTGTTTGAGTTGGCACTTGTCCAGCGGTGTGATATTTTCCATACGTTAGAATGGGCAGAGTATTTCTGGTTGTTTGAGAGTTCGACGAAGATAAATTAAGAGACGAGCCCCTGGGATAACCTTATCATCCTCATTTTGCACGCCTAAAAAGCTGCGGTAGTGCTGGATGCGGTAAACAAATTTTCTACCGTAAAAACCCTCCAGTGTCATGCCAGAAAAGTTGTTAATCGTATTACTGATCAAGCACGAATTTATAATAAGGGCGGAGAGAAGCAGATGGGTAGGTACTCCATCGCACTGCAGTTGCCACGTTTTATAAAATGCTTTTATAGAAAAATGATGCGGAGACGATGAGTTTTGCTGTAATTTCATGCCTCACTTAATAGCATAAAGCCAGGGAGCAGGGTTGTGCCCCCCTCCCCCGCTCTCCTCCTCGTCTGTCGGCCAGTCTTAATTCGTTTAGCTAGAAGTATCTGCAGGAAAAACCAGTACCGGTAGCGACAGAAATCTGCGGGGAAGTATACAAAAAACGCATCTTCGCACCGACAGTCAGTGCGCTGGCCATTTATTCTCTCTTGCAGTATTTTCGATGCTAGTTTGACAAAAAACTCAAATCTGGGGCAAAGTATGCCGTTTTGTACACCTTATGTACTCCTTCTTGTCTAATGTTAACGTGTTTGATGTGGATTTTCACATTCATCTAGTAGGATTTACAGGTA